AGAAGACGTGCGCTTCTAGTTCGACCGCGAATAGAGCTGACCGCTCCGTAGGAACCGAGAACACAAGGATTTTGCTAAACTGCAGAATAGCGCTGGACGTAGGCTGTGGGTCAAGATCAAGCATGGAGGGAAGAAGGACGCGGTAGAGAAGAAGCTCGAGAAGGAGGAACGCGAGTTCCTCGAAGCGCTCGAGCAGGAGCAAGCGGCCGAGGAGGTCAGAGCGGCAATGCAAACGGAGAAGGACAGCTTAGCAAGCAAGGTGTGTTCCCCTTCCGTGCGCGGGAGACGTATCTAATAAGCAACAGAATCCGGAACTGCAGCAGAAGGCGGGAAGGCACAAACAGCTCAAGACGAAGCTAGAATTGCTGTACCGCAGTTTGTTCGAGGGGTTCACTCCCGATTATCCGTATGAGGACGAAGCCGAGGAGAGGGTCCGGCAAGCAGAGGACGCGAACACGAACGTATGTCGGTTTCCGGAACCTCATCGAGCCTCAATTGACGCGATATCAGTTCCAGACCATTGTAAACCGTGAATCCCAGGTTATGACACTCCTCACCAGTGCTAAGACATGTCTAAACAACACCACCGATCTCCTACACACTGCCCAGGGTTGGAACTACAACAACATGTTCGGCGGAGGACTCTTTGCGGACATGTTCGAGAATAACGCTTTGATTGATGCCAAGGCATATGCTTGGTAAAGGAGAATGAATGCCTCAATCCTCTTGCTCGTTGTCTTCCACACATGGCAACGACGGGCTAAGAAAGAAGAGTGAAGTTAGAAAAGGGGGAGGGGAAGCCGTGTCTTAAGGATGTCGTGAGCTAGCTGTACGGAGGCGGATTACCTAACCCTTCCTACCATCATCCTGACATCATCACATCGTCACCATCGTCACAGTACCGGAGGAAATGACTCAGGACCAACCTCTCCCATCAACACCATCTTGAAGGGACCGACCCCTCCGCGATTGCTTGAACACAGCACTACTCAAGACTACAAAAGGTCGTCGACATCTCACCCATCAACACGAATTATTCCCAACTGGGTGTGAATATGCATCAGCAACGATTCGGTCCAGGAGAGGGGGAGAGAGAAGAGGCTGGATGGAGTGGAGGAGACGTGGTTATGACACCAACCGACACGCTCGAAGTCCGAGACCATCCCTCCCCGCCGATCACTCCACCATCCCGTGAACAGTCGTCTACCGTTCCGGCCACAACCGGGAAGAGAAAGAGGGGTGACTCTCCTTCTGCGCCAGCCTCAAAACGTCGACTGCTCACGCCCGCCGAACGCGTGATGGACACAATGAAACAAAAGCAGGAAAGGTTCAACGCCATGGCACCCAACGTGGCACGCGATTTCAAGTACCTCGCAATACACCACCAAGCCATAGCTACTCTACATATATCATCCGACCGTTTGGAGAAGTCGACAGAGAGGATGATGGAGATCATCGATGAAGAGAATGAGCAGTCGAACTTAAATTGGGTCAGAAAGATTATCGGTGAGTGTCTGGCATTCATGCTCTACTGCTTGCGCTCAGCATTCGATCCTCCCACAGATTTGTTGGTTGATAATTCTGATGAAGTGGCTAACGAGCGGGTGGCGGATCTTGTGTCAGAAGAAGACCATAGGAGTAAGTGGTGTTCATCCATATTCAAGGCAGCGTCATTTTATTGTGTTTTGCTATAGAAATTAAGAGCACCTGGAACTCTCCGTTCGAAGGCGATGTCCACAACCTTTTGTCTGACCATATAGACTCTCAATATTACACATTCCGGAAAGAACTTACGCACCCCTATTATGCTCTGTACATCCCGGTTGTAAACTCCTCCGGCGTGGGCAAAACGAGAAGCGTGGACGAAATGTCCAAGCACCGACTTGTTGTCATGCTGGTTCTGCGAGAGAGCAGTGGTGGTCAGTGATTCGATCGATACTCAGCTAGTCATAATCTCATGTCATACCATTCAGGTTTCCCGCCGGCAGATCGCAACGTTCTGGAATACCTGACCCTGGAGCGAGACGGCAAACGATGTAAAAGAAATTTAATGTGTTTCCTTGCTGCACTATATCGTTCCCTGGCGACAACTCTGAAGATTCTCGGCAATGAAATATCGGAGTGTAACACAGCGACAATCGCCGGGAAATTCCGGGAGTTCATGACCGAAGGCCAAACATTCAGAAGTGTGGGCCTCAAGCGCAAGAAGTTTCTGGATGATGTCATCAAGCTTGCGAAAAGGTAAGGGCAAGTCCCACGAGTCTACAATAGCATGCCTGACACAATTTCAAGCCTAGCTGCAAACGTGCCCTTGACGTTGACCAAAGCAGGGGGCTCTCGATTGCTTTCGCGTCAGTCAGAAGACGACCCATTTCTAAAGCACATGTGCGAAGCATTCAATACCCTCGAAGAAATTCTGAAACCCAAGAACCAAGAAAAGGGGCCGTGGCTCATTCTCGCTTTCGACGAAGCTCATTCCTTGACCAACAAACACACAAACGGTCCCGATCAGCGCTCCGTCTTCAACTGGTTACGACGAGTCCTTAGGGCACAAAAAGACCTCTCCTGCATGAGTCTCTTCCTCTCGACAGAGACTCATGTAGTGTCCTTCGCCGGGCCTAAGGCTTTGGATGCATCCAACAGAGTAAATGCGGGTACCTTAGACTTTTGCGTCCCTTTACGACATTTCCTTTCCCTAGGCCCCCGGCGGACCAAACTCCAAACATCAATGAGGTCTCGACTGTGAAATATCGGGCGTTACTTTCTAGGCATCTGTGAGTGGACCTCTGACTTGAAGATACAATGGGCTCATCAGAGCATTCCAGGTTTGCACAGTATGCGATTAAGGGTATCAGCGAAGCGATTCAGTTTGCATGGCAGAAACTCATTGGCAAGTGGACAAACAACCCCAAACACTGGTCCCTGACCAAAGAGGAGGCGTTTGCGGTATTCTCGCACATCGTGTCTCTAGACCTGCGGAGCACGCGATATCTACACCAGCCTTCGGACCAGATGGACTACAATTCCGCTGATCCCTCACAATTTGATGCGTACCAAGTCGCGCACCATCTGCGAATGTGCCTCGGAGTATCTGAAGATTTTACGGAACTTTATACGGTCGCCCCAAGCAAGCCGATAGTGGCACAGGCTGCGGCGCAAATCTTGGATGAGGAGGATACCCCACCCGTCCAACTTCTCGAGAAAATGTTCTCCTCGCCAGCCGTTGACAAGGGGGAGCGTGGTAAAGTGCTCCTCGAAACGATTCTAGTGTTGGCAAGAAACATGGCCGTCAAGGGCAAAGATACTCAGGTTTTTACGGTCCTGGACTTTTTCAAGTGCTTGTTGGACTTGTCTGAGAAAAAAGATGAAGACCGCCTCTTCAAGTCAAAACCTTCGGTGTGCCCCGCTGGCGAACAGTCAACGTTCGAGGACACCTTCAAACACAAACAACAGACGATATTACACAGGGTTACAACAGACAATCGGAAGCGATCAATAAAAATACAAATCTCAGCGATCAAGCTCAGACAGAATTCTTCTCCGGTACCTTGTCCGGTGCAAGGGCAGACACGCCAGCATTTGCCCTCCGATCCCGGATCAGTTGGCTCACCGTCCTATCATCCCCACCAACAAGGGACGTAGACGACCCCGCCTGAGACTCTGCCTGCGCACGAGCGAGCAACGCAGCGGCGTACGGGTTCAGGCGGTTGACAGAGTTTGGCGATACCGGCCGGCCTTGGGGCTGGGGAGTCGTCGACCGGGAAGTGGGGCGAGAGCCAGAGCCTGGAGGTGGACCGGAAGGAGGTGAATAGACTGAGGTAGGTGACAAAGAAGCTGAGGGTGTAGACGTGGCTGACGCGCTGGAAACTGGTGTCCTAGGTTTGCCGCCCTCGACGCGTTCATACGCTGGCAACTGCTCTCCGCCGCCGACAGGCTGTCCCTCCGTGTAGATGACTGGCAAGGGCTGGTGATTAAGAAGCGATTGGAGGATCGTCCGCCGGATCTCGTCCAGTTCTTTGCGGCGCTGTGTGAGCGTGGACGCAGCTTGACGCATGTTGGAGTTGGCCACGGTCAGTCGCTGGTTCGACTGGTTCAGATCGTTCTGCACCCGCTGCAGACCATAGTGAACGGTAGCAAGGGAGGTCTGAATGCGTTCTGATGGCTCGGTCAGAGATGATCATACGAGCGCGGACTTTGCTCACCCGCAAACATGATATCAGTAAAGACGTTGTCGAAGACGATATTGACGAGAAAGTCGAGTTGTGCAACATCGACATCATTGATATCCGCCACCATTGGTTGTTTCTTCTTCGCTTCTTGTACCAGCGCTTGCGCACGACAAGCATATGCCTTGGCATCAATCAAAGCGTTATTCTCGAACATGTCCGCAAAGAGTCCTCCGCCGAACATGTTGTTGTAGTTCCAACCCTGGGCAGTGTGTAGGAGATCGGTGGTGTTGTTTAGACATGTCTTAGCACTGGTGAGGAGTGTCATAACCTGGGATTCACGGTTTACAATGGTCTGGAACTGATATCGCGTCAATTGAGGCTCGATGAGGTTCCGGAAACCGACATACGTTCGTGTTCGCGTCCTCTGCTTGCCGGACCCTCTCCTCGGCTTCGTCCTCATACGGATAATCGGGAGTGAACCCCTCGAACAAACTGCGGTACAGCAATTCTAGCTTCGTCTTGAGCTGTTTGTGCCTTCCCGCCTTCTGCTGCAGTTCCGGATTCTGTTGCTTATTAGATACGTCTCCCGCGCACGGAAGGGGAACACACCTTGCTTGCTAAGCTGTCCTTCTCCGTTTGCATTGCCGCTCTGACCTCCTCGGCCG